AGGGAGGTGAAGAGCAAGCGGCAGGGGAGGCTGGGATGGGAAAAATAGACAAAAAAACTGTACTTGGAAAATAACTAAATAAAATTTTTTTTAAAAAAGGGACTTATCTAAGGAAAAGAAGTTAAAAAAACATGATCAGTGAAAGAACAACAAACTCACAGTTATTAACAACCACACCTAAAACAAAAGCAAACTAAAAGGACAGCTAGATCAGGAGTGGAAACATAGAAATGAAGATCTCAAGGAGGGTTAGCAACAGGGGAGTGGGAGGAGGAAAAGCGGGGAGAAGGTATAGAAAATAAGTAGCATAGACAGTAGATAGAAAATAGAAGGCGGGCTCAAGAATAGCATGGGAAATATAGAATCTAAAGGACTTGAGACACATGGTCATAAACTAATGGGGCGTAATGGTGGGGATGGGGGGTAGGGTGGAGGGGAATGAAAGGGGGAATAGAACAACTGTAACAGCATAATCAATAAAAAATTTAAAAAAAATAAAAGCTTCAATACCTATATAAAATAAATAAATAAATAAAATAAAATCGCTTAGTAAAGCACCTAGAAAACAGCACTTAACTAATGAAAATGTGTTCCATAATTATTACCAAAATATGAGAGCTTTTAAAATTTACTTTTCCCCAGCTAACAACACCCTATACAGGTTCTTAAGTTAATTTTCATATGTGCAATTTTACGTCAAGCATTTGTAAGTCTAAACCCCTCCAAGTTATATCTCAACCCATTTAAACAAGAGTCCCAGGAAGACATGAAACACCTTTCTACCATGCCCTGAATGACTGCTGTTGGTTGAAAAGCAACCTGAGGGAATTTAGTGTTGACCAGGCTGCAGTGCTCAGGGCCACAAGCTCTCCTGACCCAGTTCAGGCAGGGACTTCAGTTTCTCTCTGAGGAAGCCCTTATTAGAAAGTAAATGTGCCCCATCCCATTGAATCAAAGTAACGGGAAAGTCAGCCAGGTTGAAGGGACAGAGGGGACTTAAGCCTTGTTTCCAAGCCATGACCTCCCAGGGTTATATGTAACTTTACTCCCAGGTGAAGGAGGTACGTGCTAAATGGGGTGATTTCAAAGCAGTATTAGGTTCCACACCAAAAATAATCTTCCTCCTCACCACCATGTTTGATGAGATGCCTGGAATTCTCACACAATTGGTCGTTCATTTGGCTTAGAGCTTTGATTGCATCTATTAACATCATATACAGAGTCCAGCAGAAGTAATGCCTTTGAGTGTGGTTGGTAGGGTATGCGAATGTCTTGCGCAAAATGGACAGCAGTTTGAACATTGATCATTTCATCTAAAATGTCATATGGTGTGCTTGAGTGTGATATTGTTATGTTGCAGAATTACATGCTTATGATTTTGTAATAAAAGATTTTCATGTAATAAAAAGGGGAGTTATTTGTGCCTGACCCTGTATATTACTGGCAATAATTCATCAGCACCTCACTGTAATTCTGATAACGGGTTCTCCACTTTGTACTCTGTCTAGGACTTCATCCTGGGGCCCTGTCTAGTAACCCAGCCCTAGGGTGAAGTTCTGCTTTGTCCATGTCAGACTCCCTGCTATGAATCTGGAGGTCTTGCTCCAAAAACAGATCAGTGGCTGTAGCCCTACCTCCAGCTGTGAGATATCTCTTACAGTGCCTGCCTACATGTGTCTTGCACAACTTCTGTGGGCCAGCTTCCCTGCTGATGTGTTCCCCTTATCCTTCTTTCTCCTGTCTGTGCTTTTGACTTCTTGCTGTTTTGGCCCCTCTGACAACAAGGGTCTCTTGGAGCACACCCTGCTGGCTCTTTCCCAGCTCATTTGGATGTAGTCTTCTGCCTATCAGCCTGTTCTCCAGGGAACAGGCCTTGTTTAGAAGGCCCCAGGCATGTTACAAGAATACATACTAGTGAAAAGAGTAGTTACAACACCAAATAGGGCTTTTTAGAACCTTGACATATAATGCGTACTATTTTAAATTAAGACCTTTTAAATGCTCCTTTTACTTCTTGGAATAAAAATATCTCTCTATCCCTTAAGGCTTTGGCTGAAAGAAGTATGTGTGTTTCATAATAGTTGATGACAAGCAGTGTTGTTTTAGGTGCTGCTTGAATTTTGTGTCTTTCAAAAATGTTGGACCAGCCAGGGTCAGGGACAACTGTATTCTGGGGTTTTCTGTAAGGAATTTGAGTTCCCCCACCTGGGTTCTTCTACTCATCAGTGCCCAATTTCTTCTCAGCAATCAGATCTCAGCATCAATGTTACCTCCTCAGGAAGGACTTTCCACCCACCCTACTGGAAGAATTTTTCTCCCCTGCCTTTGCTGGCCCTTTACCTATTTCCTTCTTTACACTTACCACAGTGTATAATTATCTTGTTTGTTTACTTGGGGTAGTGTGTATTCCCCACAATACCATAAGCTCCAGAAGTCAGGAACCATATCATTTTATATAGGGAACCTATCCAAGTGGCGTGACGAATGTAGTCTAGTCCCTGACTTGGAAAACCAGTGGGGAGTGAGTCAGCACACAGGAACCGAGCCCACAGATTGGTTTTCCCCTGGGGAATCAGGCCTGCATTGTACGTAGGATTCTATGAGGCTTGCTTTTTGCTAAAACTCCCTCACCCTGAATTGAGGCAGAAAATGTTTACTACATTATCTTTAAAGTAACTTCCTAAAATCTGTGCTAAACTTCCCAAGTATGGAGTATAACCAGTTCAACCACTTTCCCCCTTGATCTGCAACATTCTTCTCTTTGAAATAATTAGCAACATTCTTTCCTTTGTTATCTGTAAAAGGTAATCACCTACAGCAAACCTGTGCATTGTAAATAAGGAACATCCTCGATGTAATATACTGAGAAAAGCAATAAAAGCCTGTCCAGGCAGTGGTTGGGGCCATCTCTCACTTAACAAGTGGCCATGCTGTCCCTTTTTCTCCACAGGACTTCTGTAGTCTGTGTAAATTTGTTTGTTGTAGCCATAACACATGGACCCTGCAAGCCAGAGTCCAGTTCAATTTTATAAAATTGTATTTTTAAAGTCTAATATAGTGCCTAGCCTGAAGTAGTGCTCAATAAATGTTTGTTGAATGAAACTTTTTCTCATTTTCAATTGAAACAATAATATAAAACTATAGACCATACCCATTTCTGTTGACTGTCAAGTGACCAACAAAAGTAAAAACTACTGATCTTTTTCTATTTACTTATTATTTGTAAATTCTGCCATTGTTAAGGACCAATATGTGGACCAGCTGTGGAGGCTTCCAGCATCTACTCAGGATTAGGAAATTGGCAACTTATCTTTAGCAGCTCCCTCCAGGGAGCTGTGTGTGTTCTTCATCTCCACATCCATGAAAACAGCCCTTCAAGATAACGGCGAGGTGCCTAGTGCCTTTCCTCTTTTGTTTTTTCTGTTATCAAGATTTGCTACTAAAAAGAAATATGAAATTCATTCATATTATGATTCTTTAAAGAAGTGTTATTAGTATTTTAACCACTTCAACACTTTAGTCATAGGAATGAAACACCAGCATAGAAATTCTGGTCTTATCTGGCACTGGAGGAAGAAAATTAAGAAAAAGAGTCTGCAGGAGTCTACAACTTAGAGATTGCTCACTATCTTATGATCCAACTTACTGCCTTTGGTGGTAAACCTTTAGAGGGGAAAAGGAAGAGAAAATAAGAGTAGGTACATGAGGATGAACTCTTACCATAAAAGGAGTCCCTTAGCAGAATCTAGTCTGGGTGTAACATAAACTGTTAAATGTTGATAGCTGTGTTTATTAAACCATGAAATACACTTGTTTTTTTCTAGGGGAAAAATGGATTCGAGATGCTTTTTCCAGTTGGACTCCTCAGGCACCACTGGGCTGAGCACCTTATGCTTGAACAGATGTCACATGCACTCCTGAGTAACAACACAGGTGTCACAGTTCTGGTCTATGATCTCTCTACAAGCTCTCTAAAAAAGCTTTCCTGGCCCTGGCTGGCTTAGCTCAGTGGACTGAGAGCAGGCCTGTGAACCAGAGTATCTCAGTTCGATTCCCAGTCAGGGCACATGCCTGGGTTGCAGGCCAGTTCCCAGCAGGGGACACAGGAGAGGCAACCATACATTGATATTTCTCTCCCTATCTCCTTCCCTTCCCCTCTAAAGATAAGTAAATAAAATATTTTTTTAAAAAAAGCTTTCCCGCCCTGATAAACAAGACTGATTGGTAGTTCAGATAATACTTCCATTTGTTTTTCCCAGCCTTTATATATTTCTCTAGGAAATGGCTCCTATTTGTTGGTTAAGGGAAGGGTGGTCCCTGACATTTTGTTTGGAGCAAGAATCATTTTTCCTCTTTCAGAAAGATGTATCATAATCAGAGAGGCCAGTTAAAAGCTGCCCTACTCAAATCTTAAACCTCAGTTCCCAGGTCTGTAAAATGGGGATACAAAGACCTATTCACAGAGTCATCCTTGAGGTCTCTACTTTTCTAAAGCCTTAGCTACTCTTTAAGGCCCAGGTAAGGTCTCTTTTCTTCTATGTATTTTTTTCATATGTATCATTTATGGAGTCATATGGTTCTTAGAATTAATAACATCATAAGTGAATTGCCATTTAATTCTATTCTAATTGTTTTCTCTATGTGAGTTAATTTGATCACCTTAGATAGATTGTGAGCTCCACAAAGAAAAGTTCTAGAATCATCCCTCAACATACTAGATTTTCAAATACTATATATTCAACATAATAACAAAAATATTAAAAATAATAATAGCAACAACCATTACCATTTAATGACAAATTTATTCCCCAGGCACTCTGATGAATTCTTTATATCTTTCATTTAACAACCTTATGAGGTAATATTACTAGGTTTAGGTTACAGATGGAAAAACCAAGGTTCAGAAATTAAAGAACTTGCTGGAATCCAGCTGTAAATCAGCATCTGGAAGTTTAACACTTGCATGTCTGATTCTAAAGTTCTTTGCCTTACTGACTGACTGATGAGAAGGTCCATGTGCTTCCCTCCCCAACCAAGTCTTCCATTCTTCTCTTGTAGTCACAATATGGAAGACACACAAGGAGAGATAAAGGTAGGGACAGACTTTATTAAGAAAAAATATATACATAATTCTTTTTTTTATTCCTCAAAGCCTCATCATCAAAAACTGATCTCATAGCATTTCTCATTCAAGAACACTCATTTTATGAAACAGATTTCAGAGATGGAAGACAGTCTTTTTTGTTTTGTTTTGGAGAGTCTTAATGCCGGTAACAGACAATAGATAAAAGGGTGTCCCCTCTAGGAATCTGGGGTGACCCATCACTCTTCCCTAGATGGCATCCCAGTCAGTTCCTTCCACCTCTCTACACTCAGCCTTCTCTCTTCCCATCGGTACCATCCAAATATTAGCAGAAGGACCAGGAGATGGGCTGTTGGGCTAGAGGCTCAGCCTCCTTCTGAGCCTTCACCTTCCTCTGTCCCAACCTCTTATGCCTATTCATTTAAGTTGATGACACAAAACAGTGAGGCTCAGTCCCTCTGCAAGGCATTTGGGGGGGCAGAAAGATACAAGTTTCTCTAAGGTGTCCTTTCCTTATTTCAGACCTCCTTTCCCCTTCACCCACCCTATCAGTGGGCATATACACACATTTTAAAAAGTAATTATTTTCCTATATATATCAGTATTCAATTCTGAGCATCCTTTACTTTCACCCAAAATTGCAACCCATTTTAGATGAATTGACTAGAGGAACAAGGTCAGTCCCTGGGAAAAGCAGGGCTTTTCTGAAGTCTCCACCTGGCAGTTTCATTAGGAGCACCAGGGAGACACAGGAATCTCTGTGCTCTTAAATAAGAATGCTGCTAAGACAGAGAATGCTGCCAATACTTCTGTGCCTCCACTAAATCTTCCAGGGAGAGAGAGATCTGGGGGCCTCTATAGCTGTTATTATACCTCTTGGTTTTCTAAGTTGGTAGTCAGCAAGGGAAATAAATAAGAGGTAAAAATCATTTTCCAGCATTTTCTCTTCCTTTAATTCTTATCTTCACAGCCCAATTATTTTTTCCCAAGGGGATTCTGAGAAACACAATGTCCTCTTTGTTTTAATAAGAACTGGGGAAATTCCACTGGCATCTCTGTCTGGTGATCTGGTCAGGATCTGAGAAGACGGCAGCTTCTTGGGTATCCTGGTCAATAAGGTCTTTGGGGGAGTACTGGGTAAACAATCAAGGGAGGAAGGGAAGGGATGGTTTCTATCATCAGGTTGAACTATAAAAAGCTATAGGTTGACAGGTTGTGGCAGGAATTTCAGTGGAGTCTGTGTACAGTGGCTCCCTAGGGGAGCTTGTACCTCTCTGGACATGGCAGAAGGAAATGTTGCAGCATCACCAAGGTGAAACATTTGCCAGACATACATGCCAAGGCACTTGTAAAGTTGAGGCTGTTGGTCAAGTTCCAAGGACCTCTTTTTAAGTAAGACTGGGTAGAGGGAGAGGCAGCCAAGGGCAGCCCAAGTCAATCTCACCACCCTTTCAATGTTTGGCCTATGGAGACAACAGATTCAAGAGCACATCTCATGCAAGTTCTTTAATTAATGCTCTTTATTACCTAGGAACCTTGGGGTCTTCCATATAGCAAAAAGGGTAATCAGGTCAAGAAAGCCATAGGGACTCAGAGAACCCATATGTTATATGGTATATGGAGAATTCTCTTATCCTTCGAAGGCCAGGTATTTCCGTGGTTCCCATCCCTTACTCCACCCTGCTCAATGAGTAATCTGAAAGTCCTCACTAAGTATTCCGGGTAGAGGATGGGGAAAAGACAGAACCCTGGGTGGGTAGTCATGTCTTTGACTCACAGAGCCCTACTTATACCTTGTGTAATAAATGAACAATGTCAAAAGGAGCAGAACAGTGATGAGAATGGAAGAGGTGGGGTCAGAAGGGACACAGCTTCCCTTTCTGAGCTTTCTTTGTTCCCAACTGGTCCTGGTTCCCTCACACTGAAGGATCACACTGATAGGTCATCTGACCTGGCCTTGCTGCTGGTCTTACTGCTGGCCTTGCTGAGTCGGCGTTTGTCTCTCTGGTAGCCTTTGGGGAGGTGGTGACCTGGGGAGACTTCACTGGGTACCTCAGGCTTCTGGGAATACTGGATGTGAATGAAATCTTCCCCAGGAATCTTCTGGCCTTGCACCTGCTCGGTGGCCAGGTTGTCTGTGTTTTGCTGGGAGGCCATCTTGTTATTGAAAGGATTAAAGAATTTCTCCCCAGGACCATTCTCCAGGCATTGACTGAAGTGAGGGGGAGGTGTACAGCTCTGAACAATGCCAGTAGGAGGACCAGGAAGCTGGCACTCAGCCATGCCCTGCCGTGACTTGGCAAATTGCTGTCTGATCTTCTTCCAGCCCAGGTGGTAGAGTTCAGCCAAACTGAGGAAGAGTGACAGTACAGCTACAGCCAACATAAAGACAATGAAGACATTCTTCTCAGTGGGCCGGGATACATAACAGTTGACAGGGTGGGGGCATGGACTCCTGTGACAGACATGCAAGGTGTCCAGGAAGATCCCGTAGAGGAGGTACTGGCCCACAATGAAGGCTACCTCCATTGTGGTACGGATTAGGATGCTGCAGACATATGTGTTGAGCAGAGTGCCCTGCAGGATAATCTTGCCATTCACTTCCTCCCAGCAGGAGAGCTCTGTCTTCTCTGCCACTGGGTACCCATAAGAGCCAGGGCTCTGTACTTCTTTGGCCGTCTTAGCCTCCCGTAGCCTCCGTTTCTCCTCCATCCTTACATGGTGCATGGCATGGCCCATGTACACCAGCGACGGTGTGGAGACGAAGATGATCTGCAGCACCCAATAGCGAATGTGGGAAATGGGGAAAGCTTGGTCATAGCAGACATTCTCACAACCCGGCTGAATCGTGTCACACTGGAAGTCAGCCTGCTCATCCCCCCAGGAAGACTCTGCAGCCGCACCCAATACCAGCATTCGGAAGATGAAGAGTACAGTCAGCCAGACTTTGCCAATCACTGTGGAATGCTTGTGTACATCTTCCAGGAACTCTCCCAGGAAACTCCAATCCCCCATCTTGGCTCAGCAGAAGACAGGCACCAAGGCTCCTGCAAATAGGGAAGTTAGAAAAAGAAAGATGCTTCTGCAAAAGTCTGGAAGATCCAGTCCTGCTCTGAGATTCCACTGATTCATACCAATATGTTAAGAAAATGCAACTAAGACAAATTCACCTAAAAAGCATGCCAAGATGGAGGCATAGATAGAAATGCTTCACTTCCTTGAACAACCAAAACAAAAATAACAACCAATGTAAGAACAAAAACCAACCAAAAATTCCAGAAAATTAAACAGCATGGAAGTCTGACAACCAAGGAGTTAAAGAAACATTCATCCAGATTGGAAGGAGGGGCAGAGATGGGAAGCTGAGGTAGATAGGGTGCTGGCAAGGTGGCAGATGGTGCAGGTGAGGCAGGGACTGGCTGGCTAGCAGTCTCACATTTGTCTGCAGATAACTCAGGAGGAACAACTGGGGAGCAAAACAGACCATGAAACCCAGGGTTTGAGCAAGGGAAACTAAAGGCTTAAAACCTCTGGCTGTAAAAATCTGTGGGGGTTGCAGTGGTAGGAGAAACTCCCAGTCTGATCTCTCCCCCACAGCCAGTGCCCAACCCAGCAAAGAAGGTTGCCCTACCCAGGCAAATACCTAAGGCTCCACCCCTTATAACATAACAGGTGCACTGCTGAGACAAAGAAATATGATCCAAATGAAAGAACACACCAAAACTCTAGAGAAAGAACTAAGCAATGAGGAAATAGACAACCCATCAGATACAGAGTTCAAAATACTTGTAATCGGGATGCTCACTAAAATGATTGAGTTCAGTCACAAAATGAAGGAAGAAATGAAAGCTAAACAAAGTGTAAAAAAGAAAAATATATAGGGAACAAACAGTGAAGGGAAGGAAGCCAGGACTCAAGTCAATGATTTGGAGCAGCAGGAAGAAATAAACATTCAACCAAAATGGAATGAAGAAACAAGAATTCAAAAAAATGAGCAGAGGCTTAGGAACCTCTGGGACAACTTTAACTGTTCCAACATCTGAATCATATAGATGCCAGAAGAGAAAGAGCAAGACATTGAAAACATATTTGAACAAATAATAAAGGAAAATTTCCCAATCTGGTGAAGGAAATAGACTTCGGGGGAGTCCAGGAAGCTCAGAGAATCCCAAAGAAATTGGATCCAAGAAAAAACATACCAAAACATATCAAAATTAAGTTACCCAAGATTAAAGATAAGGAGAGAAGCTTAAAGCAGGAAGGGAAAAGGAGACAGTTACCTACAAAGGAGTTCCCATAAGACTGTCAGCTGATTTCTCAAAACAAACCTTACAGGCAAAAAGGAAGTGGAAAGAAGTATTCAAAGTCCTGAAAGGCAAAGACCTACATCCAAGATTACTCTGTCCAGCAAAGCTATCATTTAGACTGGAAGAGTAGATAAAGTGCTTTCCAGATAAGGTCAAGTTAAAGGAGTTCATCATCACCAAGTCCTTATTGTATGAAATGTTAAAGGAATCTTATCTAAGAAATAGAAGAAAATGAAAGATGAAAAGCTGTAAACAGTAAAATGACAACAAATTCACTATCAACTGATCCTAAAAAAACCCATAACTAAACAAACAACTAGGACAAGAGCAGAGTCACAGAAATGTAGATCACATGGAAGGTTATCAATGGGGAATGGTGGGGTAGGAGAGAATGGGGGGAACAGGTACAGGGAATAATGAGCATAATTTGTAGGCACAAAAATAGTCAGAGTGAGGTTGAGAATAGTATAGGAAATGGAAAGCCAAGACTTTATATGTACTACCCATGGACATGAGCTAAGGTGGGGGTAATGCAGGAGGGTGGGGGGGTACATCTTGGAGAAGTATGAAGGGTAGAAAAAAGTTGGGACCACTGTAATATTATAATCAATAAAATATACTTTTAAAAGATTTTTAAAAATTCATCTAAAATGCTTTCTTATCCTCTCTCCACCTCTCAGCGAAAATACAAAGATTGAAAGTGGTTATATTAGCAAGATTAGATCATGGTTCTCACACCTTAATGGATCTAGAAGTGAACTGAGATGTGTGTTACAATGTGGATGCTCTGCTCTTAATCCCAGAGATTCTACTTCAGTGGGTCTGGAATGCCCTTCTCCTGGGAATCTAGGTTTGAAATAAACAACCCAGGTGATTCTGACACAGGCTGGCCAAGCACCACAACTGAAGAGACTCTAAAGTTGTGGAAAAAACACAGCATCAGAGTCTGCAAATCTGCAAATGTGACTCTGGGCACAATCTCACTGTCTGTTTCCTTGTCTGTAGAATGAGAATGAAAATAGCTGCATCAGAGGATTCTGAGGTTTAAATGAAAGAGTATGTGATGTATTGAAAATCATACCACAAATATCCCATGCTTTGGATTGGCTGTTAGTGGAAAACAAAAATTTTATGGCTCTAGAGGGCAGAACTAGGTGGAGGAGGAAAGAGTGACAAATCTGGCCCCTCAAGAAGCATTCCCTAACTCTCAGAATCATCCAGTATGTACCATCTGTATTGGGAGGTAGCAAACAAAAGGTCTTCATCACACTAGCTAAAGGTATCATAGATGAGTGCTCCGGTTCCCCCAGCTGGTGAGCAGCTGGCAATGTGAGTCTCCTGCACCTCAGTGCCATTGTAGCTGTACAACTTGGTTTGTCTTTATGCATACAAAAAGAGATACCCTGCACAGATCTGTCCACCCTCACATCCAGAATAAATGCCCCAACCATTTATGTACCATACAAAACCTTCTCTCATAAGGCCCTTGCCTGCTTCTTCAGCCTTGTTTTTTGCCTGATATCTTTAGTTTCCTTTATCTAGCCATGCCAAGTCTGGAAGATTCCCAAATGTCCTCCTCTCTACTACCTCCTACAGGCGCCTTACCCCTGGCTGAAATCTATTTAACTTCAAAATTAACCCAGTCATGTCTTCTTCCAGTCCTCTCTGCTCTCCCAAGCTGAGCCTCTTCAGCTCCCATGATGGCCCTTGGCATACTCACTCCTTTCCTCGCACTTGCCATCTTGTTTTGCAATTCTTTGACTCTCTGTGTTCTTCCAGTAAGGGGTCATGGAGAACGGGGGCTGTCTTTTCCTCACCACCTGGCCCAGAGCCTGGCCTAGAGTAGGTGCTTAGTAAATCTTAGTTGAGTGAATTAAGTAGGGGATGTCAGGCACTGGTGTTTCCCACCTGGTAGTAAACTGGCCTAGATCCCCTTAGCAGGGTTAAAGGTCAGATTCCTCTTTTTCAGTCTTCACATTAGTTAATTCGGGTCAGTGAGAAATAGAGGGAGTCTGATGTGGAGGGAGTGCTCTATAAAATGCTTTTCCATTCCTTAGTACACAGAGGGAGCCTCAGTTGAAGTCATCCCCACCCCCATTCCTTCCTGCCTGTGGACAGGGTTGTGTGAGCCAAGATGTCTCGTTTCCCAGAGAATCTTGGAAATGCCAGCTAGTGCCCTGAGGCCTCTGAAACTCTTGAATATCTTATCTCCAAATTCTCACTTAATGAGCAATAAATGTCCTCGAGGATTAAGCCTCTAACCAATTCTAATCAACAGAATAACTAAAAAAACTAGAAAGGAACTGAACATAAACACTCCCTTCTAGAATCATAAAACCTCAGATTCTGATGGGACCTTAGAGACTGTCAAGTTCAAACTTTGCCCTTCATGTTTTTGCTGCCAGTATACCCCCTGGTTCCTATCTGAACACTTTTTATACATATAAGGAAGGAGAGGGTGGGAGTACCACATTTTATGGTCTAGGCTTCTTTGGCTACTGAGTTGATACCTTCATAGAGACCAGCCTCCTGGACTATGTTCTACCAGATCCCCCTTCAGCCCTTTATGTTCCCCAACCATGAGAGTACACAGAGTCTTTGGAAATGAGGGAATTTATAAGTGAGTGGAAGGACCTTATCTCTATTCCCCTCCATATCAAAGATCCAACCAGGTCTTAAGGCCTTTTCTATGGTTTTGATCAAACAATGTAGAAAAATGTAAAGCATTTGCTCAAAAAGAAAATGCCTGATAAGAGTTTAAATGGTCTGTCATCTCTTGTGGGCATGTGCAGTGTTCAGCACTTTCAGGGTCACCCACACAAGTGTGGAACCAGGATGTGGTGTCACAGAGAAAGGGAAAAAGAGAAGTAGATAGGATAAAGAGAGAGAAGGAACAAAAAGAGGTGAAAAACAAGGGTGAGTAGGAAAATGCATAAAAAGAGACCACACAAACTGTTAAGAGAAGATGGCTTGGGGGTTAGCAAAGTGGAGTTCAAAACTCTGTTATCTGGTGAGCATGGAGAAGTTACTGGATCTCTGTCTCAATTTCCTCATCTGCAAAATGGCAATAGTATTAGTTAGCTCATAGAGTATTGTGAGATGATGAATAAAAAGCACTTAGCCCAGTTCTTAGCATATAAAAACTGAATGAAAGGCAGCTGTTACTAGCAAAGACAGTGGTGGGGAAGGACAAGAAGTGGAGAAAGAAAGAGAAAGAAAAATAGAACAAGAGAAGTATATTACAAAGAAGAAGAAAGAAAGATGGAAAAGAAGAAGGGGAGAAAGAATAAAGAAAACAAATGCAAACAAAAAGTGAATGAAAGAAGGAGAGAACTATATATTCTTCCAGGATTTGGGGCAACTTTTATAAGCTCTCCTTAATTCTGGAAGACTTTTCCTTTGATCTTCTTACTGTCATTTATTCCTTGCAAGTCCCCAAAGAAGTATAAAAATAGATCCAGGCAAAGAATGTAATGCTTTGGTTTAATATGCCAAGAGGCTTCACTGCTGACTCTCTCACATGTGCTCCAAAGAACCCCACATGAAAGAAGTAACATACAGATATAGAAAGAAACACCATGGAATATCAGAAATACAGTATTGGAAAGGATGCATCCTCGGGAGGGAACAGAGAAACTAGCCCAGGAGAGGCGAAGTGGGGCAGACCCATCAGGCCTTGATGGCAGCAAATAGGGTGAAAGACCTCTCATTCGTGACTTCCTGAATGACTCAGGCAAAGT